GGCCTCGGTGACCAGCTGGCCATGGGCAACACAGACCAGCTGCTGGCTGCCTTCACGGCCCCCGAGGAGCCTGCCCTGCAGCCCGCCCGCTGGCTGGAAGCTTCACAGGAGGAGCGCCAGGGGGGCCTGCGGCTGCGCATCTGCCACGGCAAGGTGTGGGGACGCAGGGGGTGCGGGTGGAAGGGCAGGGGGCGCAGAAGGGCCCACTCAGCCAGCCTTGCCTCCTGCAGCCGGTGACACAGGTGACCTGGCATGGGCGTGGGGACTACATGGCCGTGGTGCTGGCCGCGCAGGGACACACACAGGTGTTGATCCACCAGCTGAGCCGGCGCCGCAGCCAGAGCCCCTTCCGGCGCAGCCACGGGCAGGTACAGCGCGTGGCCTTCCACCCCGTCCGGCCCTTTCTGCTGGTGGCCTCCCAGCGCAGCATCCGTCTGTACCACCTGCTGCGCCAGGAGCTCACCAAGAAGCTGATGCCCAACTGCAAGTGGGTGTCTAGCCTAGCTGTGCATCCTGCAGGTAAGGGCAGGTGGGGGCAGGTGTACCCTATGGGTGGGGCCACCAGGCAAGGCTACCAGGTGCCCACCATCCCATCTACCCCCAGGTGACAACCTCATCTGTGGCAGCTATGACAGTAAGCTGGTGTGGTTTGACCTGGACCTTTCCACCAAGCCCTACAGAGTGCTCAGGTGAGGCCCCTGCTGTGTGGCGGGCTGCCCCATTGGTCCCCCCCACCGCCCGCCCTGCCCTGAATTGGGACACTTCCCCCCAGGCACCACAAGAAGGCCCTGCGGGCCGTGGCCTTCCACCCCCGCTACCCACTCTTTGCCTCTGGCTCTGACGACGGCAGTGTCATCGTGTGCCACGGGATGGTGTATAAGTAAGTGCCGACCCCGCTCGCCTCCTGGGGACCACGTAGCCCTGTCCTGAGCCTCTTTCTTCTCCCACAGTGACCTGTTGCAGAACCCGCTGCTGGTGCCCGTGAAGGTCCTGAGGGGGCACATGCTGACCCACGACCTGGGCGTGCTGGACGTGGCCTTCCACCCCACCCAGCCGTGGGTCTTCTCTTCGGGGGCTGATGGCACGGTCCGCCTCTTCACATAGGCTGCCTGTCACCACCTGAGGCGGGCAGGTGCCAAGACCCCCTAATACAGGCGTTTGTCCTAACCCGTGGTGTAGCCTTCCTGAACTGGGGTCCCTAATCAGCTACCCCACGAACCCTCACTCATCCAGTCTTCCCAGTTGGGGAGGGATGCCAGCCTGTCCCACAAGGAAAGGCCTGTCATTGCACCCCCGTCACCTGCCAAGAAGCAAAGGGCTTTATTATAAGTGAGGTGGGGAGAACAGGCTTGCCCCACCCTGCCAGGCCCTGGTCCCCTGCAGCATGGGGCTCCCCTCGGCCCCGGGGTGCATCGCAGTTCAAGCTGCAGCAGGGCTGGTACTGCTCATTGAAGAGGCTCGGCTGCTGGAGCCTCAGGCAAACTTGACCAGGCGGCCCAGGGTCTCGGCGGCTTTCATGCGCACAGCAGGGGCCGGGTCCTTGAGCAGGAGCTGGAGCGCTGGTGAACAGGCAGCTAGCTGCTGGGCGCCTCCACGGCCCCCTCCCACCCCCGCCTGCCCCAGCCAGCGAGTGGGGAGGGCTGGTCCCACCACCTTCCTGGCCCACGGAGCCCAGGGGGCCGGGACCCCATGGTGCACACCCCGCCCTGCGTGTGGGGCCACCCGCCCAAGACAGGCCTCTGCCGGGAGGGCTCAGGAGCCAAAGGAAAGATAGTTTTTCCTTTTTTAGTGTTTTTTAAGCTCTTTTGGAACAGTTAGGAAGTTTCCGTGAATTACTAGAGACGATGAGGTCACCAGTGACAGGGAAAAAATCCTTGAAATCCAGGAAAATCACTTAGTCTCCCCTGGTACCCACAGGGTCAGTGAGAGAGGGCCCTGTGCAGCCTGACAGGTGGGGGTGGCGGGGGGCCCCTGACCTAATGCAGGTGGGGGCTCACCAGCAAGGAGCTGCTCCAGGTCCACTTGCTGCCGGTGCTCGGGCTCCACGTGTAGCACCAGGAACCCTGGGGCAAGGAGCAGGGGCAGGGTCAGGGGCGGGGACAGGAGTGTTGGTGGAGGCCAGCGGGCAGGCTCTCACCCGTGAGCATGGGGGCGGCGGCGCGTACGTCCTCCCAGCTGCTCTTGAAGTAGAACAGGCTGGTGCTCACCAGGCGGCCCAGCAGGTCAGGAAAGTGGCGCATCTGTGGGAGGCGGGAGGCCGGTGATGCCCCACTCATGCCAGGCCCCGCCCATGCCAGGCCCCGCCCACACACACCCCCTCACCAGGTGCTTGCACGTTGTGTTGAGGAACTCCCCGAAGTGGAGGCCCCGGCCCTCCTGCAGGTGCTTCTGGAAGGCCTCGGCCAGGTCCTCACGCTCCAGGTTGGGGCCGCACATGCGCAGGGCAAACTTGCAGGCCTGCAGGGCTAACACTCAATCCCCAAGAGGCCAAGTCCCTGGGTCCTACCTGGGTTGCCCATCCCCCCCACAGGCTACTCACACCAGCCACAGAAGCCTGGGGATCCTGCAGGTGCAGTAGTAGGGGCACCAGTCCCCCAATGACTTGTTCCAGGAAGATGTCCTCGCAGTTCCCGTGGCAGGCCTTGTTGAGGTGCCCAAAGAGGCAGATGGACGCAGAACGGAAGTCCATCTTTTCCTGGAGGGAGAACAGGTGTCACCCCATGGGGCCTCTCCAGTCTCGCCCAACTGCTAGCCCCAGGCCCCTTCCCTGGGCTGTCCTTGTTCTCCCGCCATGCTTGCTGCCCCACCTGGAGCAGCGACGAGAGGCTGGCAAGAAGAAGTAGGGACATGGCGCTTCCACCAGGAGGGCAGTCTGCAGGACCCACCCAGCGGCCCTAGGGAGGGAGCTATGGTGACACAGCTCCTGGGACCCAGGGTACAGGTGGAGCTGAGGCTCAGAGGAAGAGGCAGAAGGGCCAGGAAGCAGGTACCAGGATGGCCAGGCTGGGAGTGGGTTTGTGGGGGCCCATGGTGTCCCCCAGCCCCTGCCCAGCCTACGCTGTCGAAGAAGGGCCGGATGCGGACAGCGACATGCAGCAGCACTGAGCGTAGGTCCCAAGGCTCCACTAGGCCCAGCAGCTTCGCAAGGCCCAGCATGGCCTCCAGGGCCACCAGGCTCTGTGGGTCATCCCCGTCATCCAGCCCACTGATCATGGAGGTCAGGAGCTGGGGGCCGTGGGCCCGCACCTGGGGATGCATTACACTCAGCTGTGTCCCCAGGTCACCAAGCCCTGGTGACATCACATCACAGGCTCTCCAGGCCACCTCTATGCACATCTGCCTGGGTCTTGCTGACCACAGCTTTACTGTCCATCCCAGGGCCCCAGAGGGGCTGGCCAACAGCTCACCTTATCAGGGGAGCCAGAGGCAATGTTAGCCAGGCCACGGAGCACCAGCCGCCGCACGCTGGCGCACGTGTCCTTCTGCCGGGCTGTTAGGTTGTCCAGCAGCGACTCCAGAAGCATCAAGTCCTTCACCACATTGCTGTTCAGCAGCTGGAGGCAGAGGCACGGTGACCCCCAGGGGCTGGACCCAGCCTGGCCAGCCCAGGCTGCCTCCCTTGGATCTGCCCCTCGCTCTGTCTCCACCACTGCACTGCTGGGCAGTTCTGATCCCAAGCCACCATGAGGCGTGAACGTGCCCAAGCCCAGCTGAGGGCCCTGTGCACTGGGGTGGGCTTATGGCCTCCTTGTGCCCTCTTCCCCACCTGACCTGGCCCCCACTGCTGTGCCCTGGGGTAAGCTTCCAGCACCATGCTTTGGGCCAGCACAGACCACACACAGTCAAGGCCCAGGGGCCTCTGTACCCAGGAGCACTAAGCGGGGGCTGGGTATAGCTCTGGCTGGGCGGGTCAGTGCCGGCCTGTGCAGGGGTTTCCCGTGCCCTGCCGGACCCATGGCAGCAGTCCCAGGCAAGTGGCTCCTACCTCAGCCAGGAAGGCTGTGGAGGTGACCCTCTGGACCTCATACACGCTGCTGTGTGTGCACAGGAGTGCCTTCATCACCAGGGGCAGCCGGGGGCCTGCAAACTTCGCCATGGCACTGTGGAAGGGGGCCATATCATGCGGGGCGGGTCTTTGGGCCAACTCCCTGATGGGGTGGGGTGCCTCTGCTTCCTGCCCTGCAGTCAGAGCCTTCTGGCCCATGCATGACCCATCCACCCAGCTTCCAGGCCCTGCATGTACCCCGACGTGCCTGCCAGCCCAGCTCATCAGGCCTCTAGTGGGGCCTTTCCCTGCCCATTCTCTGGACTAGCAGCAACCTCAAGTGCACAGCCGCCTCTCTGGCCCCCATTCCCCCACGGCCCTCTGGGCTGAGGCACCTACTCATGTTGGGCCCACCTACGATGGAGCAGCTCAGCCCCTCCCACATGCCCTTAAGGGCCCTCATTTGTGCCTTCATGCAGGTCCCAAGGGACGTAAATGCCTGAATGGGACTTGGCTCACTGGCTCTTACCTGGCCAGCCGGGCAACCCCTTCCTCGTGCCCGGTGGAGGTCCTGAGCGACTCCCAGCCTCCTCCCAGCTCCACACACTGCACCACATCCTCGCTGCCACCTCGGAGCAGCATGACCTGCAGAGTGTCCACCGCAGAGCTGTGGGGACGTGGAGGGTATGGGCTCAGCTTTGGGGAACACTGAGCCAGCGGTCCTGGTATGCCACTGAGCTTCGCACTGTGCCTGTGCATGTGCACACACATCCCAGGGCTGGCCAGCACATCCCACAGGGAGAAGCCCTCAGCTGCCCCTGGCCCACACTGCACGCCTTCATGCCGCTGTGGACCATCTGGCCTCAGGCAGGTTGTGAAGACTGCCCCCGTCCCCCTGCTCCTGGATCCCCAGGAAGCCTGTTCTTGCACCCCAGGCTTGCCTCTCCCAAGTGCATGGCCACAACCCCCCTGGGATACCCCAGGGCCCTGTAGGAAGGGACACCAGGTATGCTCTGAGGCCAGATGGTGGCCAAGAGCTGGGGTGGCTGGCCAGGAAGTGTCCACTTCTGCCCACCAGCTAAGCCAGTCACGGGATGGCAGATGTGGGCCTTGCCCTGCTGCCCCCATCCATCGCCCCTATTGGAGGGACCAGAGCCAGCAGCAGTTTAGTGTCTGCCCCTCTGGCATGGCCAGGTGCCCAGGCCGAAGCACTCAGGCTGCCAGTGGGCAAGCAGCAGGAACGGGACTCCATGACAAGGTCTGGGAGCAGCAGTGGTAGCCCAAAGCCTGTGGCCAGAGACAGTGCAGCAGGGCCCTCAGAACGACACAGGGAAGGCAAGGGTCCCCACACTGACCTCTCCCCTGCACGATGGTCACCTCACACCAGCCTGTGGACATTTGTGCCCATGAGGCCCACAGGTGGCTGGCCACCCACAGAGCAGCACACTTGACCTGTCTCAGGGCGACAACTGGGTACAAGCGCCCATGATCACTTCTGGGCCAGGACCAGCACAGCAGGCTGCTGAGGTACAGGGGGAGTGATGGGCTCAGAGTACAGGGGACAGGCCTTGCTGGCCACATGGTGGTGCCTCACATGTCAATCTGGGGACAAGCTTGTTTGGGATTCCGAGACTGCAGTCCCGTGAGATTTCTAGGCCGGCCTCATACAAAAGTGAGGGCTGGACAGGGCCGAGGGACTCCCGCCCAAGGTGCTGCAGGTACTGAGGCCCCAGGGATCTCAGCCCAGGCAGCAGGTGCTGGTGGCCATCCCCACAGCCCATCCTTATCGCCATGGTCACCTTTGGGTGGTGTGAGTGCCACGGGAGTGTCAGCGAGGGGTGGGCCCATGTCTGGGTGGGCCCACAGCAGGAGGGGCTCCCAGTAAGCCCTCACCGAGTGGCTACAGATAGCTCTGTCTGCAGCTTCCTCCCTAGAGAGAAAATGCTAGAAGGTGATTCTTACTGTCCCCGGAGCCCTGGGAGTCCAGCAGAGACCTGGTCACTGTGGCGGCTGCCATGCCTGCATGTGTGGCAGCCTTCACTGATTGCAGACACCGGCTACCAAGGCCACTGGGCACATGCCAGGCCGGTTCCTGTGTCCCAGGCTGAGGCACAACTAGGCTCAGGGGCTGTGCTCCCGGCCGAGATCAGCACCCAGGGAGGTTCTTGGCTGCAACAAATTTGAAGTGTGGTGGCGCCAGCCCAAGAGAATGGGGAAGGGTCGAGTGTCATGCCCGTCTGCCTGCTGCCCAGGGTCTCTGTGGGTGTGGCATCTGCAAAGGTCTGACTCGCTGGCTGGCAGCCTCTGTCAGAGCCAAGGCCTGTGCCTGGCTCTGCATGGGTCCTAGCTCTGGGCTGGCAGTCCAGGAACCCCTGGTGGGGGTGTGAGGCCTGTGTCCCACAGCTCACGGGCCGTGAAGCAGTCCCAGCGTGCCAGGCCCAGGGCTAGCCGAGCGGCATCCTCTGATCCACTCACATTTGCCACTTGATCTGTGCAGAGCTGGGCAGGCCTTGGCCTGTGGCCTATGCAAGTTTATAAGCTGGTCCTGTGGTGGGGCAGCCCTGGCGGGGGTGTAGGGTGAACTGACACCGACACTGTCCCCAATGTGTCCCGGCCAAGGGGCACATCTCACCTAACCACTGGGATGGATGAGGCAGTGACACAGGCTGACACTCAGGCTCTGGTGTGGAGCCCTAAGGTGCCCAGTTATGGCCCCAGGGACCAGGACAGGCGAGCAGACACCCAGGCTGCTGAAGCTCTATGACCCCACCCTCAGCAAGCAGCTCTCCCTGGCAACCCTGGTCTCCTGCCAGGACCCTGGGGCTCCTTGGCAGAGACCAGAGGACCCCAGACCCCAGCGAGAGCCAAGACGGAGGTGCCTGCACAGGCTGGTGGCATGGGGAGCCTGGGTGATGTGGCAGCTGAGCTGTCCCTGCAGGGCTGGGGGCTGACCCAGGCAAACTGGCCCCTGGGGAACGGGGGACAGTGAAGTCACTGCAGAGTTTCTGCCTGAAAGTGGAGCCGGACTAGGAGGACTGAGGTGCAAAGGCGGTGTCGCAGGCGGGGTCCCTGCAGGTCTCACCTGCACCCTGACCACTCCCAGGGATCGATCCACCTTCCCAAAGTGTGCCCTCCAGACCCACAGGAGCATCCCCACGAAGCCCTGCCAGCCAGCCAGCCCAAGGCCCACGCTGCCCCACAGCCTTGCAGCCACCTCCCCCATGGTCCCCATCCCCAACTTGCCAGAGATGAGAATGGACAGGAAGCTGTGCTCCCAGAAGGACAGCGGACCCTCGAATGTCATCAGGGGGAGGCGCTGGCTCCCTGGGTACAAACTCGCCCCTGCGCTGGGAGCCCGTGCACACACACCAGAGGCACACAACCCCCAACACATGCACACATAAGCACAAGCACGCGTGCACACATGCATGCACACATACACACAGGCTGTGCTCACAGCAGCACTGGGGCAGGAGGGGAGGACCTGTTACCTGCAGGGGTCGAGGTTCCTGGAGGCTAGGGCCAAGCCGGTGGCCCTCCGCTCCTTGGCCTGCAGGGTCCGGGGCAGCTGGACGCCAAGGGTGCAGCTGACGCGCAGCAGCAGTGCTGCAAACAGCTGGGGGTAGAGCTCGAGCACCGCGGGCGCAGATGCCGCGACGGACGTGACCTCAGACAGCGCACAGGTGGCCTGAGAACAGGGGCACATCGGCTCGCCTCCGCCTCTGAGGCTGTTTCTAACGAGTCCGGCCCCGCGAAGGCTAGGCCCCGCTTCCCAGGACGCGAACTAGCCCACACCTGTCAGTGTGTGCCCATGCGTGTCAGAGGTCTTGGTTCCGGGGGAGCTGGGGGACCCAAAGAGACACAGCCATGCCCAGCCGGGCCCTCTGGGGCAGGAGGCAGGCACAGGGCCGTGTGGCTGCCTGGGGACAGGCCTGACCATCTGCTCTTGGCCCGTAGCAGGGAGGAGGAGGGAATTCTCACAGCTGCTTTACTGCTGAAAACACTGCCAAGCCAGGTTTATTTTTTTTCCGCAGGATGAAACAGAGTAGTCTCCCTTGGGGACCGACACCTGCGAGGCCTTTATGAGGCTGGGCTCCAGGGCCCAGCCAGCCGCCAGGTGCCTGCAGGGCGGTGCCCAGGCCACCTGTGGGGTCCTTCACAGTGGGGAAGAGGGAGAATGGGGCGAGGCGTGCCCGGGGC